ATCACTGGCCACCATCTCTGCCCTGTTAATTTTTCCTATTGTCCTATTAGCTACCGCTCACAAACAAACGTATTTTGCCGGTTTTTCAAGCCCTACCCATAGGGTCTCTCTAGTTCATCCAGGTGCGGTCAGAGCCATATGCTGCTCTCGAGAGGATCCCCCCCCCACAGGGCCATTTTTCTCCGAGCAAAAAGAACTTTGAAGCTACGGAACGCTTCCACTAATATGCTGCGAGTAGGGGAGTATTACAAGCTATCGATACCCAAATCAACTTACGACAGAGTTGAGGCGAACTTACACCCACAGAAATGATGACATTCCCACTCAGAACGAGCAGTGATGGATCATGGCCTTCGAGTCATTTAATTAATTATTGTCATAGATTACCTGAAAATTATTATTGACCTTTCCAACATAGGAAACAGCTTCCCTTCTGTTCCCTCCCTTCCCCGTATTTGATATAAAACCTGCCCAAAGTGAAGAGCGATCTTGTGATACGGCGGGAAACTCGTCCAGCCGCGGTTTTCACAGAGAAAACATAGTATCACTTTCTTGGAAGTGCGAGCTTTCATCCTTGTTCCCAATGGCACAGCCGCAATCACCTGTGCCCCCCCCCATTTCATTTGGCAATTATCAGCCGTAGCTGTGGTAATGATCGCTGCCTTTAGGTTTGATCGATATATTGACTTCGTACTTAGCGATAATATCGATTTGGTATTTCAGGACGAATCTATAAAGACAAATTCATTGCCAGTAACTATGAAGACCGTGAATCGCTCAACAATGCGGTATCGTGGTGAGTCATCTATAATGGTAGAAACAGGGAATATGAAGTTGGAGCATTACTGTAGACCGTCGTTGTGATAAAAGGATAAAGGATAAAGCATTTGCCGTTGATCAATCCCTTTTTGGGATGCGGCACGCATTCTACTTCCATTTGTACATTCGCAGTGGCATTTGAATGCGATGTGGCCTATACAATGACTTGCGGGGGCCAGCCGATGTTCAAGTCAGTGTTTTTATCCTCCCAGACAAGTCTGGTACCAATTAACCGACCCCGGAGGGATGGAAGGCTTGGTTGGCCCGGGCGACTCACGACCCAGGATTTGATCCCCGGACCGCTCGCGTGGTAAGCGCGCCACTTGTCACTACACCACTTCCCCGTTTGGGATGTACAATTTTAATTTTTTAGAGTTGAATGTATTGGTAACTTGTTGTTCAATAAGGAAACAAGAGGCTTCGAAATTGGCGAACTATTTTTCAGTTGATCATTGCTCTCTAAAGCCTTTCTCCGCACTGGTTTCGTGGTGACCGGAATTAGTTTTCTCTTGCAACAGTCATTATTACTAAATATTTGATGTGTTATAATCTACATGCTCAGCGGCGAGAGCAAGTAGACGCGTTGAGTTTGCACCAGCACCCGCTTTCCTGTAACCTTCTATTGCGAAGGCCTCAACTTCTCACTTCCTCGTTGCTGGTAGTAGCAAAATAATACTGCCCGATGCCGTTATCGATTTTTAGGATCGTAAGGGTCGAGTGTCGCCGATTGGAACATAGTGCGCAATAAACCTCACCTACACTGTTACGACGCCAGTGTGTAACACTTTGAAGCAATGCAGAAATGCAGCAAATCGGTACGCTGACGTCGTCTTTGACGGCTTCAATCAATAATTGATTTCTTTCTCACAACGAACTTCTCCCATCAGTAACTGTGATATTTGTCGTTTAGTCGAATTTCGAATCTCTTCCGGTCAGGGCCATTAGGTTCCGCCCAAGTCTTGGGCATGGGAGCGGTTCCGACCGTTCCGATTTTCGTATTTTGGGCTTTTCGATTAGACGGTACTCTTTGGAAATTCAATAGATTACCAGAGTCTTGTGTTACTTACTTCGCCGACATTTTAGAAATTGGATATTGCGTTGCGGACCTAATAAAGAGCCAATCGATATTGCGTGCGCCATCATCGATTTTTCGGTTTATTATCCTTTGTTTTGTAATGTTTGAACCTCAGTCAAAATTTCGACTTATTTATTTCAGCTGTCGTTCTGAACTCGCTGCTTGGACGAAAAGGCGCTTTACATCAGCTTACCGATTACTGGGACGTCGCCACATATTTCGAGGTACATAACTCACAGTTTGGTGTCGTTTATTGAGTCATTCGCTAAATTAGCGTCGTACTAAAAATCACGTGCAAGAGGGAGGGAATGGTGGGGGGGTGTACGTTCATCCAAGCGGATCGAAACTAATGAAAAATTCTGGACTTTTTGATTAGAATTTCCGCGTTTCCCCAAATTAGTTGTGAAGAAATTTTGGGTAATCTGAGATGAACGCTCCAATCTAACAAATACTGTTTCCATTTTTTGGTGAGATCTACTGTCCTCTTCACCTAATACGACCCCAACTCCCCCCCCCCTCCTCCCTAGCTTGAGAAGTGTAGGGCATGGGCCGCGGTCGAAGTCATCCTTTCCTATGATTTGCAAAGAGAGCCACAGCCAATTACTTGCAAATGCAGTTATGTACACCATTTAAGGTATCAGTACTGGCGGAAAACTACCAGAAGGCCTGCGAGGCAGCACTTAAAATGGCAATGTTGAAGCCGCCGGTGTGGTAAGTCTGCTTTCTGTGTTACTACACTACCACCCCTAATTTTTGTTCTATCGACGGTTTGCTACAGATTTTCTCGTCGCAAACCATCGCTTCACTGTAGTTGCTGAAAAATGGTCCATATGGCTTGGAAATTAGACCACCAGATAGCCCGATTGAGGGCAAAACTAACTTTCTATCAAACTCTCCTTTTCTCCGGACTTTTCGCCTCTTTCTTGCGGTCTTTGAAGACTGAGTTTCTGCTTGCGTGCTTACATCCCATGAATTAGACCTTCTAATTCAATAATAATTTCTCGCAGAGGTTTTTTCTGCTGACAAATTGGCTGTGTCATTAGGTTCTCATTGTACTACCGTCCATAATAATTAAAGTCCCAGAGACCGTATCGGGGCATTTTGCCGGTCCGAACCAGCTCCATAGATGTTATGGCCCTTTTTTCAATGCCGCTATGTGCCAGCTCGATACTCTATCTCTTTTTGAGGACCAAATTCTTATATTGTCAGTTATAGGTTCCTCAAATCAACTATGGAGAATATCAAGCTGATCAATAGATGTGCCGCGACGATCAGTCCAATTGAGAAGGTTAGTGGTCAAGTTTGTGCCAAAGAAAGTACGGAATACAATAAGATGAAAATGATAATTTGACATTTTTCTGTAATGAATTGCTCCACATTTCGCTAGCTGTGGCACAGGGGTTTAATTAATCATGTCAGACCTCTCATAAAGCAGATACTGCTTGAATCGGTGTGCTCTTCGAGCTTCCTAGAACAATTCCTTTTTCACCTTCCGCCTGGGAATCGTGCCATAAAGCTCTTGAAAGCTGCCCCATGTCATAGTTCAGGAGAAGGCCCGTGTTGGAGACCGGGGTGGGGGTGGGTGTCCTTAACAAAACTCAAGCGGATATGGGGATTACAGGACTATGGTACAGATATGTGACAACCACAGAACGCACAATCCATACCCTGGCCATTAGCGTGGTCCACGCATCTACCTCTTATGGCTCGTCTGGAAAAAAAAACTAACAAGGGAGGTCTTTCAGGGCAAGGTGCGCTTTTTCAAAACGGTTTTGTGCATATTGTAGGGACGCATGTAGGGAACGCAAAACCATGTTTCATTTTCGCTGAACGGTTATAGCAGTACCAAAAAAGAAGCATAAGGTACTGTTAAGGGTTCGATCCCCGTGGCGACTAAATTTTGCATTTGGGTTGGCGCCTACGGTTTGGTGCCAAATCGCGCTAAATATCAAAATCAGATGTCAAATTCATCGTCAGGACCATTTTGAAGCCAACAAGTGGCCGCCAACCTTGATTGCAAAATTTAGTCGCCGCGGGGGATTGAACCATCAAGAGTATTATTCACCACTTTTTTGGTACTACTAAAACCGTTCAGCGAAAACGAAACATGGTTTTGTGGTCCATACATGCGTCCCTACAACATGTACTAAACCGTTTCCAAAAAGCGCACCTTGCCCTGAAAGACCTTCCCATGTTGATAGTTGTTACAAGGCCAGTAATCAGTTATTTCATAGAGCTTGGGGAAATAGGAATACCATCTCCGCTTCGCCACGTTGTGCATTGCGGTTTCGCAACATACAAATCATTCAATGTGTATGTCCATGAACATAAATATTGCGGAGTCACCGAGTTTGGGAAGCAGTCGCTTTGTCAATCCAGAACAACTGGTCGCATCGTTAGATGGAGTGTTTGAGTCCTGGCTAAGCATCGCTGCTGGAGCGAGCAGTGTCAAACCTACGCAAGGGACCGAAGTTCAAAATTCAGATCGGTATCAAACGGAAATATGTGGCTCCACCCAACCCCGTCGTTATCGAGTTGATTAGTGTCGCCCCCAACCAATTCTATCTACTATCGGTTGAAGACATTATTGATCTACATGGTACGACGTGATTCGCCCTCGAACACGAACCCTTTCCAAATATCACAAATGCCCCCTTTCGTTGGGCTTGGGACATCGGACTGGTTAACCTACTGGTCTTAGCTACCGCCTACTCCGCCAACTCATGCATTATTTGTTCCTTTTATTTTTACTCGTCAAAATAATAAAGCCACTGTAGGTACATTCCCTCCCCTTTTAAAAGTTCATGAAATTTATTTTTTTTTGTGCGGTGCAGACCATACACCACAAGTGACGACGGCCTCCAAGTAAATCTGGTTAGTAGTGGTTCATAGTGATAGCTGATTTTTAGTAAATGATAGTTGTAATTACTGTCAACTGATCGAATACAACTGTAACAGGTTAATCATTTGGCAAAAAAACATTTGCATTTTCTGGAGGCCGTCGTCACTTGTGGTGTATGGTCTGCACCCGACACTTTCTGGCTTTTTGAAGGGGAGGGTGTAGTTCACTTCTCTCTGGATTCCTTTTTTTTCAGGAGAAGCAGCAGTTCTTGTTTTGGTCCGAATTCTTCATGGAGGCGATTGACTCAGAGTCGGATGTGACCTGCGCTCGTTTTCCAGTGTTAATACAAGAACTCACCAAGGTAAAATTTATTGCGCCACATAAAGCTTCAGAGTACTGATCACGTATCAGTAGCCTTTTGTGGAGATACTGTAGAGTGGTATTGGTTTTTTCAGCAATTCACGCCGTCTTACCTCACATTGAACGTCAACGAACGTTCAATGATTCTCAGTCATGTCCTCGAAAATAGCCAACAAAAGAAGCCACCTCCAGGTGGGTCAAGAAGTTCGTATACACAGCAGATCAAGAGATAGGCTTGGAGCAGGAGTTATCGATTGGTGTAGGATTTCTGAGGCACCCGGCTGATCAGTGTGATTCTTTCTGTTCAGGTATCCATCGTTGGCATTTCACCGCCGGCAACATCAAAGCTGTCTCCGCTTCAAAACGTGACGATAGATCGATGTTCCTTTATGTGCACGAAAACTCGGACGATTTCAACCTAGTCTTTCCATCCGCGGCACACTGCAACAAGTTTGTGATAGTTGTCCGGGATTTTTTTCAGCAAAACTGGGTCCTCGTTTAAATTTGTTCCCGTCATAGTTAGAAAAATCGATAAATCAGTGTTGGGAGTTCCACATAAAGTTTTAACCCATTCTTTTGGAATTATCAATTTGGGCCTGACTTTTGAGACGGCAGAATCAATTCTGTTCCAGGGTAATAAACTCTTTGATGGAGATGACTGAAGCGGACGGCAATCAAGGTAAAGTTCTATCGAACCTTGATGGCGAGAAAATGCATGTAAGTCTTACCTTTTATCTCTGTGGGCGGGGTTCTCGGCATACGGACGAGTTTTCCAGTTTGAATACGAGTTGACGTCCAGTGGTGATCGAGTGGTGCTTGGTAAAGGAACGTACGGTGTGGTGTACTCCGCACGGGACGTGACAACACAACGTCAAATCGTCGTGAAAGAGATTGAAGTCAAATACGACGAGGAGGTAATCAATATATTGATTGGTACAGTGCAGATCGATATATTGATTGACGAGCTGGTAATCATCTGTTTTCATCTCAGGTACAACCACTTATGGAAGAAATCAATCTGCATTCAACCCTAAGTCATCAAAATATTGTGCAGTACCTGGGTTGCGATGTCGTGCACAGGTAGGAATTTTGAGCTACAAAATTTATTTTTGACTTTTATTTTTTCCCATTTTCTCGCAGTGAAATCCCACAAATGACTATAAGACACATATACACGACAATCCCCTTGACCGCTAAGCCTGCAATCCCCTCAGTTCAAGGGAGGCTCCCCTTCCTCAATAGCTCTTAACTGGACAACGAGCAAATGACTTTTATTGATTATCTTCTCATATTTCAAGGGACGTTATTTTTGAGGTTTTGCTAGGAAGGAATAGTAAACTAAGAAGCACCAAGTAATACGAAGGAAAAAACGAGACATCCCCAAGTAAAGCACATTTAGCGAATTTACCAAACACCTCGAACCCCCTCCTACTTTAGTAACCATAACCTCACTGAGGACCAACGCTGTCACGCACATTATATCTCCCAGGCCTATTCTTCCCAGACACCGTCCGATGTGTTCCATATCATGCACACGTAACCAGGAGAAGTTGGTAGTTTACCCTGCGTCGAAAGGTCCTCTCAAGAGTCGGCACTGGTCCTTATAATCGGAAAAAACACACAATATACTCGAGGACTAGGTGATTATGCTCGTTTATAATTTTCTAATTAGCACAGTGCTGAGCAAATGGTAACAAGACGTAAACAAGTCAACAATCAGAAACGGACCAGCAATAAATATGCCGATAGCCCGATAGTGATTATCATATTAATCAGTATTTGACCGATAATCAAGCCATTGGAGCTATACTGAAAACCTCCTCTTCGCTTCAAGCGGAATCGAACCACTCCTCTCCGCTCTCCGCAGCTGTGCTGCCGATTACTCCAACCGGTGCGCTTCACCTTAGCCGTCTACCGGGGAGGCCCGTGCGCCGTCGAAAACGGCACAGGTGCAGACGGCTTGGCACTCCTATTTATTGACGCTGGATCGCCAACAGTGAGCCTCGCAACTCGCCGTTGCAGGTCGCGCCTCTAGTCTTCTTGCCGCGCGTGCTCCGCCGCTTCCCAGTCTTCTTTCAGACCTTTTATCAGAGTCGAACATTGACTGTGCATCTGAACGTGACAACTGTTCCTTGTTCAGGTACCTGCACGAGCAGAAAATCGTCCATCGTGATATCAAAGGTGATAATGTGCTGGTGAACACATACAGTGGTGTGTGTCAAGATCAGCGATTTTGGTACCTGTAACGGCTGGCAGGACTGAATCCGGTCACGGAGACCTTCACAGGTACTCCCAACCCCCCGCCGGCTGGTCTTAACTCAAAACCAGAATTTGATGATAATTTCAAGGCCACTCCATTACTGGCACTGAAGTATCGATCACGGCAACGATTCACCATCCGAGCTAATCCGATATTACGAGGTCGCCCATAAAGGTCGAAATGCCACAGCGGGACGCCGCCCTTCGCCACAGTTTCCGTTGGCTCATGGTGTGCGAGACTTGCCCGTGCTCTAGCCACGATGGGCGGAGCTCGATCACATTTGCGCGACATGTTCCGTTTCAGATGCAAACCCTCTAGACGCAATTCCGTTTGGGAATCGTTCAAACTCAATCCCACCTCTCCTGCCCACAGACAGATCAAGGAGAAAACTACCGGCCCTTTCATCAAAGAGGCAGAGACGTGCTTAGCTCTTCCCAATTGTCTGGCTTCCTACTACATTTACAAGGATGTTGAGCCTTTCGCTGTTTTCGTTCATCTTTTGTACTTTGTCTCCGAAACCGAAGTTGAGTTTATTCCCAAACCAAGTTTTCACCGTAACACAAAGTAAAATTTATAGAACTTGCTCCAAGCATAACTTTCTCAAGCCTCCGGTGTTCCCATAAATTCACCTTTTCTCGTTTCAAAAACGCAAAGAAATGAAGCTGAAGTAACTTCAAAAACTTCCATTAGGCAAGTTGAATCCGAAACATCAACAACATTAACTGTCAAACACATCACACACAGAAAGATACCGTTAAAGATGTTAGTCCAAATATGTTCTGCTTAGCCCACTTTGGACACATGAAAATATAATTTTAGTAAAAATAATTCAAAAACTATTGAGATATCGAAACACTGCAGAGAACTACAGAGTCACAAGCGTCTAGAGCAATATCTGAAGCCCACTCTCAGGCCCCCTATCCATAAGTAAATAAATCCTATTTTCGAATACGTTCGAACCAGATCCTTGCAAACGACCCAGTCACCGAAGCTGCTCAACGACCCATTCCTTCAGCAATACCCCATCTCGCTGAGTCTATTAAATTTTAATTCGAATTAAACTTATAAACAAATAAAATCATGCATATTATATTGAAAGGTATACTTTATTAGATCACATTCTCGAAATGCCTCATAAATAGCCATTTTCCGTCGAACTAATAACTCAGCCTTAAAATAAAACAACCTAAATAAAACTCGAGGCTTATTTATATTTGAAGACTAATTATTGGACACATTCTAGAGAACCCTTTAGAGAGCCATTTTCGTTTAGCCCTGTCTTCCCAGTGATGTTGTGATGATGGTCCCGTTTAGAGGCTAATGAATACCAATGGGAAGCGTTTTTCAGCTCCAATTTGCGTGTAACAGTTAGAGAACCACCCACCACTCTAATTGAAAGGGAAAAACTAATTGCGAAATCTCTTGCCATGTTTATCCGAGCTTTTCTTCAAACGCACCGCTGTGTCTTGAACAGAATAATGTTAATTAACACAATGGAAGGACGAGTTTTCTCGGCGACGCGTATTCATTTTTGAGCCGCGGGTATACTTGGCGAAAATCGGGCAACTAGCGAATGCGACAGATGAAATAGTGCTCTGATTGGAGAGGCGGACGACGGCGAGAGATTGACTGGTATTGAGGAATGATTGTCGTCACCTCCATCGTCTTTTCACCGTCCTTAACTTTTCTACATATGCATTCCCCAAACGCCTAGCATACGTGACTCGGAAGCCGGTATTGGCTGTGATTATCGATTATTTGTGATAATATCTCTGGGAAGGGATAGGCCTCATCCTTCGACAGCGTAGCGGATTAGACGATATAAGCCGAGTTTTCCCGTATAGTTCTTTCCACATTTTGCGGTGAGGGTGAGTGAGCAGAGCCCAAGAAAATGGCTTCCTTGAAATTCTGCTCATGTTTGTTCAAAATAACATCTTTCAGAATAAGCAAGGAAGTGTGACGTTAGGTTCGGAAAAACGGCGTATTATGCCCAGAAGGAGTGCGCACAATTTCGGACTGGCGTCATTATAATTTGGCCTAGGAATTGAAGTTTCCGAGAGCTGCTGCACAACTACAGTACCGCGCTTGCTAGACCCCGCCCTTCACTTATTGTATGGATGGGACCGCTCTTTGCTCATAGTTGATGGTTCGACATGAGTGTTCAAAACCTTGCCAAAAGGAAACCAACTAGTACAAACCTATTCAAGTAAATAACTTATTCATCTTATTTCATCAGTTTTACAATCTGATATTAATTTTACAGCAAAATTGATTGTAAAAAATCAATAAAACTCATGCAATGATAGCCATTGATTGTCTAAAAATTCGCAGAGCCTCTGAAGAATCAATAAAATCGATGTGATTTGTTTAGTTCCAGCATTTCACGAACTCGAAGCTGTTCTATGAATAAAAAACAAATGGATCACGTCAATAAACATCGAGGTACTAGCTGTTTCTTTTTGTGTATAGTGTTCATATGGATGTTTCTCCTGCATGTTGTGTCAGCTTAATCAAAGTCCATGTCATACATCGTGGGTCCTGCATCGAACAAATCCCATCCTTGGTAGTTACCGGAGCTTTCATCTATATTATTGAATGATCGAGAATTTGAGTTCTAGTGCGCTTTTATTGGCTTCATTTGGTGGTTAGTTATCTGCCGTAAGTCCTTCCTCATTCAATTAATAGTTTAGCTGAACCGCATTTGTGGTGTTTCTGTCTTGGTTGGTATTGTTGTGGTCGTTCTTTTTAATGTAGGCACGAGAGTGAAGTATATGTATAGTGAGAAGGTAGGGTGGCACGGGTATAATTGGTATGTCGAAGAAGAGAATTTCCCAATTGCGAATGGATCCTGAGCTCCAAATGATCTATACGAGCGCATCTCTGGACGAACGCAGGGCACTGTACCACAGGCTTTTTGCTTTGCGTTACCTATCCGCTTGCGACGATCTCTTCTCTTTCCAGTCTGCCTGCCCTGCGAGTTTGCTCCTATCAACTTACGCCCTTCGCCGATCGTGGACTTCTCATCCATGTGGGCATTGAGGAGGCAGAGGAGAGCGTTCACCCTGATACGTCAAGCGAGATCAGATTGATGTGCACCTAGAAGCGAAATCAACAGGGGAAAGTTAAGTCTGTCTGCGGTGGTTTTTAAGCCGTGTCTCCTGGTTTTCCTTCACTCGCACCTCTTAGCAGCTCTACGTTCTTCCTCGTTGAAGAACCAATTTTGTTTCGCACAGCTCCTTTAACATGCAATTGCTTATTCATAGATGAACGTGTGGAATGTTTCTGTTATCAGGCTGGTCAATGAGAGCTATTTTTGAGAGGCGAGGTTATCTTGTCGTAATTACATTATCAAACCCACTTGCCAATTCGGTTGAGGCTGTCGGCAGGTGTGTCATGTCGGATAATTTGCGAAAACTCGATGGCCGCTGGCCTTCTATATCGACTGAGGAGCGATTTTCAGTCGCACGCTCTAATTAAGCTCACATAATGACAGTGTCTGCTTTGTGTGTCGTATACTTGAATATGCCATCAAAGTGGATTTGCTGTTTTCTTCCATTTGCTGCTATGTCAGCTTGGTGGTTATTGCTCGTGGGAATTGTTGTCACGGCGCACTTCTCGGGTCGATTCGCCTCTGGGTCGTAGCGTATTTGTGGATTACGGCTAATTAGCGTCTGAAGTGGCGACAGACCCCAAACATTTCTGTGTTATAGATCGCTGTAGATTCTTCACTGTTCTATAGCTGTAGGATTCAGTGCCACTTGTTTTTGTAGCTTTAAATAGCTCATAAATGTCACTGCAAGAAAAACTGACCCCTCGGGTGAAAAGTTCTGCTTCCGTGGGAATGATAAAAAGCATGACGAAACAAGCATACGGCGTTGATAGGTTACTTTTGTGTGCGCCATGCATCCGATTTGAATTCAGGATCGTAGTGGGGTTTAATTGTGTAAACACCTTTGATAACAATCTGTGGAGGCCGATAAATGTGCAAGCAGTGTTGTTATCCTTTTTCTAGAGCTTTCATCTGGACGAGTCTGACACCGATTAGTAAAATGTCTTGAAGCCAAGTCCCGGGTAGAACCTGACCCATGATCGCCAATCCCGGAGGTTTGGTGGCCTGGAACAGGTATGACTCGAGACTTGACTCCCTACTGTGCACCTGTTAATCGGCGTCATTTGCCGCTAGTGCTTATTCGTCCATCGGAAATGGAAACGTCTACGAATAGTTATCTCCCCAAAGAGTACAGACGATAAGGATCAAGATCTTCAGCTATTTTAACATTTGACGTTCTTTCCAGCGTTCGGGAGGGGGCTCAAATGGGCATGGTTTTATGCACTGGGTACAGGCGATCAGCTGATTACATAGGCTTTTCTGTTGTCGCATGACACTTGACAACCCAGGCAAATGAAGGATACCAATCCCTCGAGTAGGACCCAGAATCCCGATCTCTAATCAGTCCCAGAATCCCATTGTCCGGGACATGTTTCGGGCTATGCGGATGTTTGAATCTCTGGGCATCGGCAACAACTTTTGATGGGGCGGTGTGGAACAATCTATCGTGTGGGTATGATAGTCTCCACCATCACTACGAAAAAGCAAATGTCTCGACTTACAAGTGCGCTTAAATGGCACTAGGGACTTGCAAAGTGAGCTGATGTACGAGATTTCTCGCAATTACCTGGCGGCACGCAGTATGAATTACGGCGTGGTGGCTGGTTCTCACATGCGCGGGTTTCTGGTTTGGATGGAGCAAGTAACTTCCGAAAACTCGTCCAGACACGCCTTTTTATCATTTAGGCAACGCGAGTGGGTCCTTGTTTAGGGCTTCGCCAGCGGTTACCTTTGCTTTTTTTCATTTTTGGTGGCTCGTCAGCATTATCGACCGCCGTTACTCCACTAATTTGCTCCAGAGTTGCTACTTTGAGATCACAGCATCGTTCTTGCAGAATTCTACCGCTATCAATAAGAAATAGATATATGCTGAGGGTTTCGGCTAACACTCTTCAAAAAATGATTTTGAGCTAAAAAAATACACCTTACTCTCAATCTGAGTAGGACCTCAAGAGCTCCATGTGGTGCTGCTAGCCCCGCCCCTGGGCGAGTTGTGGCGCCGTATTGAATGAACGCTTAATGTAAATAACAAAAGTTACGTCCTTGTCAAGCGCTTTCTAACGCCTTATCCCTAATGGCTTTGAGAAATGCTGCGTTCCACGTCACACATTGGAGGCATCGGCGTCAGCGATCGTGGTTCCGTCGAGATGCCCACCACTCCACAATCGGCCGTCGTCGAGGAGAAACGACTACATCTGATGATTGACAACAGGTACGGTATCGTTCTATTACCGTAGTACTCGTAGTTGAAGTCTCTGAAAAATCGGGCTATCCCTATTTGGAGGGTCTTGATTCTTTAGAAATAGCCGGGGATCGCAAAATGTTTCAACCTTGTGAAAACTTCTGAGCATATTCTGATAGTCATTCATAAAGATTACTGTAGTTGGGGTTACGGTAGAGAGCAACTATAGCCTCAATACCATCAATTCTCAGAACTTCTAGTCGAACAAGAACGATCTCCTGCAGCCCAGTACCGGATGGCTCAATCAGCGCCGGAACAACGGTTTCCCATCCGGGCTTCCCACTGAGCCAGCCGTCTAGGTAAGTTTCACTCTGATTTTTCAAGTTCATCTCAATCGATATATCGATTTTCAGTCCCATTATGGATGACAACACACATCCTCAACTAGTGCCCTCGCCATGTACTGGCACACCACGTTCCGGTACCACTACACTGCTGAATAGAACAATATCCGACGAGAGTTCAAACAGTTCAAACAGGTGGGCGGAGCATTCACTGTTTGGGCGTGGCTTCGCATCTTTATCCTTGAAAGCTCTTTGGTTATTCTTTGAAGCGTGATAGCGTTTTTCACGTCGTTAAAGGGATTCGATCACCGACATTAAGCGGGCCTAGGCTATTTTGGTGAAATGCCACCAGCAGATATCTATCTCCCTCTCTTCTGTCTCCTCTGAAAGGGCAGTGCTATCGATTTCTCTTTTCATTTTATACTTACGAAGAACGGCTTCTATAATTACCTCATTTCCGCGCTCGTCCATGCCTCGTCCGCTGTTCGTTTGCGAATTAAGACCTCTCTTGCTCGAGAAAAACAAGCTTGGGCCTCTTCAGGCGCACCATCCTCTTTCAAAGGATTGTCGTCAGCATTCAACAGGAATCTTACCTTTCTTAAAAACCACCGTTTATTTTTTATTAGATTATCACAAAGGTTTGCACCGGTGAGACTGTAGTTCGGGGGGGGCACTCCATTGTGCTCTCCAATACTAAGGATAAGGATAAGAGTTTTCATGACACGTAATCGATTCATTTAAAATTACTTCTGATAAGGACCGGTGTAGTGTGGAAGTACTCCTAAGGTGCTTTCAGATTTCGGCCTGCTGTGGTCCAAGGAAATGGTCCTGAACTGGGGTATGGACATCCTTCCTAGGAACAGGGGTGTAGGAGCCCCAGGGTGGACAATCTTATGCCATAAATTGCCCGGGATGTGAGGAAGATTTGAGTGATTCAGCGGCGCTCTTTAGTACTATGGATAATGTAACAGGGAGTGCCCCCTCCCCCCCCCCCCCCCGAAGTGGAGTTTCACCGTTTGCAGGCTAACCGCCCACGTAATTCCTCAGAATTGTTGTGAGGCTTCTCTCCTCTTCCTGATCTCTCAGATCCCCGTGAGTCATGAATCTTTGAAATTTCGGACATCCTTCTAGCTGAAATGGGCCGCCTCACCGAAATTTTCACGAGGACGATTCACTCTTGTTAAGGATCAAGCGTAGCAGCTGTTTGTTGTTGACTATTTACTTGCTGACTGCAGCTCCTTGCCGACCTGGTTTTGTGCCGTCTTTCTGCCACGTTCATCTCTACTATCTGGTTCTATGTCCCAGGTCCTTAAGATCTATCCACAATCGTGGCGCCCTTGGCTTTTCAAAGCAGGAGAGGCAAGTATTCCTCGAAAGGGGTCATGTTTGACTCCCTAGGGGAGAAGGCCTATTGCACTACCAGAGCATCGCTTCACTAAACCATATCCCTGCATCCTTACGCAACTTTCCCAAGGTGATCGGGGACCAATACGGCAGTAAATAATCAAAGCAACTCCAAATAACTTCCGGACCGAGAACGCTGTGTCATCCACATGATCATTGATGCCTTGTAGAATTGTTGTGATCAACCGCTCACTGACCAGACCTCTCGAACACTCCTGTTATCAATGACTGAGAGGTGTTTTGCACGGGTTTTTAGTTAGTAATCCTCTGTGAGCGGTCAAGTACTCTTTTTTTACTGTCTGGCCCTAGTATCATCAAACACTTTTAAAAGTTTCCAAGAGGAAGACTTGCTATGGATTAACCTACCAATCGATTTGGATCGATTATTGATTGTTACCACCTACGCGTTTGGAGCAGAATAGTAGCAGCATTAGTACTCGACTACAACGGTTTTCGAGTACTTGTCGTAATCAATTATTGATTGAAATCGATTGGGAGACCAATTGGCCTTTCCAGTTGCATATTAAGATTTTTTCCAGGTTTTTTATGCTGAAGAAGGACTCGGAACGACGGCATACACTTGCGCAATTCATGTCGGATTACTCTGAACAGGTGAGAAGATGGTATCGACTTATTGATCGAATATGTATATGATTTCGTCCATGCTATTAGAGTAAAGTTATTTCTAGCTTTGGGGCGGCCATTTATCAGATATATGGAATTTTGTCATAATCAATTTAGGGATGTTTCTTTTTCGCCCACGTGGGAATATGTAATAGACAATGATTGGGAATGTTCTGAAGTCTCGTAACCTGAGAAGTAAGAAGATGTGCTCTGAGAAATCTGGAGTTTTTATGATTTCTTGATAGGCCCGATACTTGAAAGGTTACGGTATTCGAATACAGTATTTTTCAGATCATTGACACCTGGATGCGTGGGATTATCGCGTCAATGGACAGTGCAGAAGTTGTGGTACGTGATTGAGATGGCTTTTACCGAGTATTTTGAGATTATTCTTATTCTACTGCTGAAACTCATTAGGAAGCTTGATGAGATTACAATTCTACGCAAAACACGGGGAATCCTCTGAGACTGAGTCCAGGTGTGGACAGGAACTTCGGGGGAAGTGGTAATTGCTCACTCACCTTTGGCGTCTCTCCTCCCTGCCTGAGGCTTAGTCCTTTTTTGGAAGAAAAAGATTTCTCACGTGGTTACTGCCACTATAGTGCCCCAGTATCTTGCAATAGCGCCCAATGCTATGCTTCTTTTTTTACCATAATTCCTTTTTTCTTGTTTTCTTTATTTTCCCCATTTTTTATTCTGCTGTCTCGCTTCATACGATAGGACAGGAATAGACCCTAGCCGCCCCGTTTCTGAGATTTAAATCATCTTGGGTCTAGCGTACCTTTTACGCTTAATTATTTTTGGTAGCATGTTTATCTGAAAGGCCGAGAACAGTGATAGGCGTAATCCCGCTTTAAAAGGCACGGGTAGGGGTTGAGCGGGTAAAGAAACCCCCTCTATCAGTATTGTAGCCGTATCTGCAACCACTGAGATGACACCACGCTCGTGACTAGAAACTGAGCTGCCTAATAAGATCCGGCCTAGTATTTAGGAGCCCGTGGGCTATGACCGCCCACCGCTGGTGGTGGTAGGAGGCTACTATGGGCGTTAAATCAGCTGGGTTAATTGTATCAACTGCTAGCACGGATTCAGCAATAGCTGGCAAGTCCGGAACTTGTTCGACGTGCGTTCCTCCGAAGCCAGCTTCCTCCGCTGCTGGGAGGAGGGGAGGGTTTTATTCGGCCTTGTCGACGGCTTTTCCCATTTTTTCTTCGTTGGGTTACGTTTTGCGTCTTTGCACACTTTCGAGCGCAACATTATCTCAAACCCGACCCGTGTCTTTAACTGATGTAGAATATATTGTCCTTCCAATGTATCCACGATCACAAGTGGATCTCTTGACATGTCTGGAACTAATTAGGGAAGGTAGTACGGTACAAATCCCTTGTCTACTGCCTTACCTCCTTGAATCTTCCAAGAGAAACAATATTTCAAATTGAAGTGGTCCCAGCGAAATGGCAAGTTGATAGGTACATTCGTATGATTTGGTGGAAGCTCGCTCGGCTGTCATATTTGGAAAAGAACGTCGACTGTAAATTTATCCCCCTTCAACTCTTTTGATCGTTATTACAGCGCTGTGATTTTTATAATATATCACTCAGAGAACTCTGGTTATATCCCTCAATATTTAATCCTTCCGAACTTTTTCAAGAGAACCTATAATAACAAATTTAGGTGACGATGCACATGCTAGAAACACTGCTGGATGGGATGAGGGAGTTTCTGTTGAAAAAAGAAACTAAACACATCCAAGACGCATTGGACGAGATTCGATGTCTCCTCGACTACGACACGTCCAAAATCTCACAGGTTGGCAATTATTCAATTTTCTTAGTCGAGAGAGACGACCAAGTCCAGAGAAATGGAGTGCACGCTTGAGCGCAAAATTCATGGTTTCAAATAACCAACAGTGGTCTCATGTATCTTTTAATTGTAGACGATCAGTACTAGGATAAGGTGCTAGCATAGGGGGGGGGGGGGTACGCAGCTGCGCGAGGCTCTGTTCTTCTACGCCTTCAAGGCTTATTCCGCGTTGTGACTGTATTCGAAATTCCTACAGTGCGCAAAGTACGGCCTCTAGAACTCTGCCTTAGAGGCGCAGACAAACAGAGCACCGCGCCGCCGCGTGGCCTCCTCCAACTACGTTTGCACCCAATATAACCTAGAATTGTTGGATTTGGCAACATTTTATTTGAACATAGACGTGTTTTGTACGCATTTGTCTGGAGTGTGCAAATTTGCGTCGTTCTCCTTTTGACGTCAGCTCCTATTCACTCTGATAATTTGATGCGAAAACATCCTATTGAAACTCGTGCAAGCGGAAATCTGCTCAGAAACAATTGTATGACGCTGTTGAAATAGTGCGCCGCATACAAGAAGTAAGGTACGTGCTATTTTCAGGTTAAACATGGCCATCTTCACTTTCTCCGACTCCATTCAACCGGTGCTACGTCGACTGGACATCAAACCGCATTGGATGTTCGCATTGTCGAATTTGATCCAAAGTGCCCGTCCAAACCGCCATCTCCCTGCTCAGCCCGGACGGGTCTCAGCGCAATTACATGTAAGTTTGGAATTCTCAGGTGTTCTCTTCTTTTCATGACCTCACTCCCCCAAAAATCTTGCCCCTTTCACCTATTTTCCACTTTTTCGGGGCTCGAAGATTACTGCTTTCTTAATTGTTTTCTATGAAGTAATTGGAGATATTTACGTAGTAAGAACAGTGAAGTTAGTGAATGGCAAGTCCGGGGATAGCCAGGATATTCGGGGATAACCGGGGATATCAAGCCCATGGTCCGGGCATGAAATCGCCGGGTCGAACTCCAACCGGCAGAACAAGTTCAACCCTCTTATCCATCCGGGGTTTTGGTATTCGGGCTACAGATTTTTCTGGCGGGACAAAAGCCTGATTTGTACGCAGCAGCCCCTGCAGGTCATGTGGAGATCAAGTACGTGGTCAAATGGCACAACGCTCGTGAAAGCATGTCGAATGCGTGGCGCACCTCAAAGACGGTCTAGTCTACCTAAGGCTTATATCCTTTTTCCTTCACAATAGGCGCTAGGTTTACATTAGTCACGGGGGCTTCTATTTATTACGCCATGTTTTCTGGTCACGAAGCGGTTACTTAAACGAAATTGTTGCATTTTTTTAAGGGCATTACGGGTTTCCTTTCAGGTATTGCTGGCTTTTTTTGAAGACTTCTTAGAACCATATCTTCTTTACTTGCTCTGCTTAGAACTTGGTTTTCCTGCCCATTCTTTTAATTTTCTTTTTTTTCTTTTTTTTTTTGCTCACGTTTGGTTATAATCTCATTCAAATTTGATCTTTCCATTTTAATTTCTTACCCTGTCCAGGTTCAAGACGTGACCACGTCGGTCGGTCAGCGTACCTCGGTTTCTCGAGAATCTGGCCAATCGGAGCTGGAAATTGTGGACAGCAGTCGGCCACCGTCTAGGGAGGAGAAACGTGAGGAGCGTAAAGAATACCTGAACAGCGCATCATCGACGCGAACGATAAAAGCTGAGGAAAAGGGAGCTTGCGGATTGTTTCATTTCTCACGTCACTTAGTTGCATCAGTTTGGCTCGGAGAAATTACCGTAATCGGATCAAGTTTGAATCGATTTCAGACTGATAGCCGCACAAGAGGAACTGAAATAACACTTGATATCGGGTATTGCACAAGCACAGAACATGCGCGACATGGCAGCGACAGCCTCTAGCTTAGTCTCAAGTGAGTCCTCATTGGTTTTGTTACTGTATTTACTACTGTATTATTGATTTTTACTGATCGGTATTCAGTTTGCGCATGAATTTTTATTTCTCAATATTGCTGAGCAAGACCTCGCCGCTTCTGTGGACTTGATTTGAAACAATTCCTAACAAAATAGGTAATATTGGAGGGCAAAGAGACGGCTAAACGATGCCGGGTAAGGACCCTGGCGTCCAAATAACAGTATTCGCCGAAATCAACCAATTGTTGACGATTTAGAATATTGCTAGATAGTGACTGTACCAAAAGCACTTTCCATTTGAAAAAAAGCTGTGCGAATGTCGTTTTTTACTTAAAGTAGCCCTGATAATTAGCCATTTCTTATCAAAGAAAGCAATGAGTCTGCTGCGAACCCCGAGAAACGCAGCATGCGGCGACCGTATGGGCGGGGTTTGCGCCCGTCCCTATGCAAATCTCATTGGTTGGCCTGACCTCGTCACCGTGTTCTACCGTACTTTCTCATACCAAAAGAAGAGTATGACCTATAAAATTTTTGTAGCGGCTACAACGATGAGCGTGTAATGTGATTTTGTAGGTTTTTGGCATAATTTTGGCTTCATTCATTACTGGTGTATCAAATCACCAAAAATGGTTTCATTTTTTGGACGCAAAGAGCCGCACCTACTCATGACGGAATGTGCCTTTAAGTGATTCATTCCGAAAGTGCGCGGTCATGAGTTCCACGATTGCAAGATTAGGCGGGCTTCAAGTGCGAAAGGCGTCAGCGAACCACAAAATGCGATATGGAAAAGCCACGAAAGAGGGGCTCTCTTAACAAGGGATAAAGCTTTTGACGATGAACAATCCTGTATTGGGATGCGGCACGTCTTCTACGTCCTTTTTACATTCGTAGCTGGGCTTGAGCAGATGGGCCTTAATACAATGATTGGGAGAGGGGGGGGGGGGCAGCGATGTCACAACGTGCGATGTTTTTTCATCCTCCCAGAAAGAAGTGCAGTAGCAATAACCTACCCCGGATTGGCTTGGCCCGACAGAAGCACGACCCAGGATCGATCCCCTGACCGCGCGGTAAGCCAGATTGCCACCACACCACTTCGCCCATGGGGCTCTTAGTCAGTGATTAGTCGTATAACATTGATTTAGTAGGTGATCCAGACTCGGGATTGCCTACTGAAACGAATATGCGACAAAGAACTCGATACTTGTCTCATAGAAGTCTCCTATGATTCTGTTTTCAACATCATTGTATTTTCAGATGCGTTGACGAACGGCGTGACAGCTACCTGGCGAGGTGCACCGTACCGCAGTACGTATCCTCCGACAGGATTCCCACCACTTTCCCCGAAGTGGTAGTTTAGGCTCGCCAACGAAGAATCATAAGATTGTTCCGAATCACATGGATGCACACATCAGCAGGTGACTTCTTATCTTCTTGATACTTTTCAAAAATTACCTCCCTTCGTATGAAAGGAAAATTGTAGAGTAGCACAGGGGGATAGGAAAGGGGAAGACGGGGAGGGGTGACGAACGCGGAGCTGAGTGTAGGGAAAAAAAGCAAGTGTGCTCAACCAGTAATCGTTGTAGTCATTACCGCCATGCTGTGAAAATGAATTCCTTAAATCACTACCGTCTTTACTGCTTCCCACCTTTTGATGGTGAAGGAGAGGTGGTAGCAAAGCTGTCAGTTTGGAAGGGGGCTGGCGGAGCAAAGTGGGCTCTTGACCTAGCACGTTGGCGTTCCTGGCATCACCCAAGCGTTCATGGCTTCAGAAAAAGTAGAAAAGTTTTCAAGCTCGTCACTGAGCCGGCATATCGTAAACTAATCTGTTCTGTTCAGAGCTACCGAAGAATTGATTGCATGGTTGCGAACGCTGGAAATCGATGATCGATCAATACGCCTGATCGTTGCCGAGCAATACACCAAACAGGATTTGTTCGAGTTTGTCACCAGAGAAGAACTGCTAGCGTTGGGCGTGGCGTGAGTACCTATTTGATTAGAGGGGTTGGAATCGTAGAATTCACAAGCTTGATCGATATGGGAGCTTTTGTGGCCTCAAATGAAGGTGGACGAGTTTTCACAACTGGGGGAGTGGATAGTTCTCCACTTAGTCTTTTTTCTGTGGAACTAAATGTCGGTCCTCTGTTAAGTGGACGAGTTCTCCCGCTCACTAAAATTCAAGCATTTTAGCGGTGGAGCCACGTGTCGTATATGGCGAGTGGTGAGCGATGCACGCGAACGAGCTCGTCGTGCACCGGTATTTTTGTCACCGATGCGAAGTCGTGACGATTCCCTGGACGACTATCACTCTTCGATCGCGGACGAGATGTACACTGTGGCTGAAATGACGTGAGCATGAGGCGAATGCGAAATGTGACAGATGACGCGTTGTCGATGACGACTAGTACGAGTTTTCTCCCACAAATTCAGCCCTATGATGACAAGTTCTCACACATCCGTACAGTGTTATTGGTTATCTCAATTTATCGAGGTTCTCTAGTTGATTTGTTTGCGCATATGTCTAACTATGTATATATGAGATTATACTTCGCGATCGCTAAACGCGCGAGCGACATTGTCCAACTGGTCTCCTCCTGTGGCCGGTTCCTGCAAGGAAATTTGATTAGTTTTTATAATTTATTGTTTGTAAATACGATATCGTTTACTAGTCTGCTTTCAGTCTCTTTAGCGATTTCGTATAGTCCGAATGCGGCGGTAGGGTTGCCATAGCTCCGCTCCGCACCGCTATTTCCTAGGTCTTGATAGTTTTTCTGATTTGTTTTATTTGCCAAAGTTGTTTCCTTGCATCACCTCCTATCCCTCTATAGTTTATCTAGTACATTGTTCGAAGATTGATATTTGATGTCTTTGCATGCTGTGTCGTCCATGATTCTCGTGCCGTGAAGTTTGTAACTAGCGGCAGTAGACGCGCGCGGTCGCGGGGCGGCGCATGGATAGCCGCGTCGCGACCGCACGCATGCCTGTCAGATCATACGGACTGGAGAGGTGGTCATGGATTGCTAAAGCAAGAGGCCAATCAACAATCTCATGTTGTTTCTTTTGATGTTTACGTGTACACAGCGGTGTAACAACCAACAACAACGCTGCGATAAAATCAATATTTGTCGCTCGCGCCGTGCCGTTGCTTTTTGAACGAATTGTGACTGCTTACTGAAACTCTTTGCTTAAATAATCCTAATGTGTAGGGAGGGCGTTCAGAGAAGAATTGGTTTAAAAGGTCTTATCGATTTTGTCGCCCACTGTTGCTTTCATCGACTAAACCAGTTAAGGTCACTTTTACACTTTCTCAGTAAGGTCTGCTCCATGGTAACGTGTAGGTCAGCGAGCGTGTTTAGTCCACAATTACACCGAAAAATTGCTGACAGTGGATTTCTGGCTGAATTGTTTGGGCGGCAAAATCGATAGCTATGGTTAGAACGTGGGCGACGTGCGCGAGCGACAAGTATGCACCCCTCTGAGTTTTTGTAGTGTTGTTTCTTTTTTCACATTTCACTGTTCGTTCTGTATTATACGTCATGAGACCGTCATCACCCTCTCCTACACAATGCAGCAGCATCAGCTTGTTTTCCTGTGATACTCGCGTTCCGACTGTGTCGTGGAACGCTTTCAGTACGGCTTTCTTTTACTTGTTTTTACTTCTCCACTGTTTTGTTTTGTGGTTGTCCTACTGCTAGAACTACGAAAACCATGCCTATTAACTGGGTCATTTTGTAAATGTACCTATGTAAATATTTCTCACACACGTGTTATATGAAATAGAGAAACGTTATGTGTGTATCTATTATATAATATAGTATTGATCTATGTCGATTGCTACAACGACATCAGTGCAAATTTGTTTGGTTTAATAAAATGTTATAAATTTTACATTTTTTGAACAGTTACAGTTGATAGAGCTGACTCAGGGCGGCTCATGAACAGAGCGGGTTGGACGAGTTTCAAGTAATCTCCGGGTTAAGCCGCGCATACAGCATCGGCCAGGATTTTCGGAAGCTCCACCAAATATGCTTCATTCATGCGTTATTTTCCGAACGAGGTGAACCGTCGTGATGGGGGAAATTTTGATGTTGGGATTATTCCCTTGGAGGATCTCAGCCAGGGTCTATCGTAAGTGAAGGGGTGGGAGGCTGCGCTTGGGTTTGACCAGGATGAACCACCTCTTGGAGAAGTACGAAGGGGGGTCGTATTCGTGAAAGTTGAGGATGATCCCATGATCAGGTCGAAGGGCGAAGAAGGGGAAACTCACCTAGTGGAAAGACAGGTGACCTCTAAGGGTGCGGACCGACACGCAATTCGCAGCGAAGGATATGCCCCGGCGATCTAGCATGGCCCTCCCCGCGGCGCTATCGGCGCGGCACGCCCATCGACTGGCTAACCACTGCCGCAGATCTAGCCATTCAGCAGAGAGAGAGCGTTAGCGTTGAAGAGGGCAGCACCGATGAGAGTCGCATCAATGCGGAAATCAACGGGCAAGAGAAGGGTCCCATTTCTCGGGTTCTGGCCGTTTCTCATGGTTTCTTTTCCTCTCAGCGCTACTGATGACCTCTACCTTGATTCTAAGCTCTGTTTTAATCGTAAACTCCACTTCTAAAGGCAGAACCCAGGATGGGTTCAAGTGGGTGAGCCTTTCTTATGCGTGTGGTAGAGCTGTTTATGGTACTTGCAAATATTCCGCTCCTCAAGCTCTAAAGCTCGCAAGAAGAACCCTACAGTCTCACAAAGGTCAACCTCCTCGTTTTCGTCTCGTTCGTAGAATACGGGTGTCTGGGACTCTAGGGCCCATTCTCTCTCTTCTGTGGTCAGGCTGTCATTGCCTTTCACAGCTGAATCAGGGAAACCGGTTCAGCCCGGAAATTGATTTTGACGGATTCTTTCCATTCTTTTTCCACTACAGGCCTACTTCATGGCCCAATGCGTCCATTTTTCTAGGCAACAACCGTAGCAGTTTGATCCTAGAAATAGCCTTCGAAGCTATGAAGCACGGGGAGCCGGAAACGAGCGAGAAAGAAGGTAAAGAGGCGATCGAAATGGAAAGCTTAAAACGTTCTATACTTCAAAGTTACCTAGCCCACCCCTATGTCGCGTGGTCCTACACAATTACAATTCGAGCAGCTGAAATCTCACAGCGTCTTCGCTTGCATCCCATTCTTCCTTATCCACGGATGTAGGCTGATACATTCAGCTAATCGTGAAATCTGGCTTCGAGTTTCAATTAGAGACCACTTTTCACAGTTTAGTTTGAAGTAACAACCT